TTGTCTTGAATAACAATAAAGCCAAAAAGACAGAGAGTTCAGCTGTTGAGCTCACTCCTCCTTTTGTTAGCTGAGTGAACCGGCATAAGCCAGCTCAAAGCCAGCTCAGCTGTGTATTTCTTCTGCTAAGACATCTGCAGTTGCACTCAGCCGTATTCTCGCTTCAGGAGAGACAAAATCACATTTGAGATTTGAGTTCATGGGGTCTGTATCTGCAGTGGAAAATTTTCAACTCTGGGATGAAACACCTCTTGTCAGAGAGGACATTTAAGCAGGAAACCTCTCCAACTTCCCTCTTCCCTTACACATAGCCTCCTGAAAGTAGAAAATTGGCTGATGTAGTTGCCAAGACCAGAGAAGGGACTCAAATGTCATCTATCTGGACTTCTGTAAGGCCTTCGACATGGTCACTCACAATATCTTTCTCTCTACATTGAACAGATACAGATTTGATGGCTCAGTAGATGAGAAATTGGTTGGACAGTCACATCCAAAGACTAGTGGTCTAAGGCTTCATGTCCAGCTGACATCAGTGACAAATGGTGTCCTTCAGCGGTCCGTACTGGAATCTGTGCTATTTAATGTTTTCATCACCCGCATGGACAGTGGGATTGAGTGCACCCGCAGCAAGCTTGTGGAGGACACAGAGCTGAGTGGTGCATTGACAACCTGAAGGATGGGATGCCATCCAGAAAGACCTGGACAAGTTTGAAGTGGGACGTGGGACCCTAGGAATTTCATGAAGTTCAACAAGGCCAAGTGCAACATCCTGCACATGGGGCAACCCATCAGACTGGGGGATGAATGGATTGAGAGCAGCCCTGCTGAAAAAGACTTGAGGTGCTGGTGGCTGAAAAGCTGGACATGAGCCAACTGGGCTGCATCAAAAGCAGTGTGGCCAGAGGTCGAGGGAGATGATTCTGCCCCTCTGCTCTGCTCTTGTGAGACCCCACCTGGAGCACTGCATCCAGATCTGGGATCATCAGAATAGAAAAGATATTGACCTGTTGGAGAGAGTCCAGAGGAAGCCATGACAATGATCAGAGGGCTCGAGTGCCACTCCTATGAAGACAGGTTGAGAGAGCTGGAGCTGTTTAGCCTGGATTATAGCAGCTATCCAGTACTTGAAGGAGGCCTAAAAGAAAGACAGGACAATCTTTTTAGCAGGGCCTGCTGTGATAAGACAAGGGATAATGGTTTTAAACTAAGAGATGGTAGACTGGTTTTAGTTTGGATATATGGAAGTAATTTTTTACAATGAGGGTGGTAAAACACTGGAACTGCAATAAAAGCTTAGAGGAATATTTATGGTCTTTGAAGAAGCATTCAGTCTCTGTCTACTTAGGACTAACTCATGTAACTAAGGGCTGATGACCCTGCAGTAGTGCTGGATCTAGAAAGAAACACAAAATTAAGGCTATTACAGACAAAAGTGTCTATTAGGGCACTAATATCTAGGGTGGGCAGAGACTAAGCAGCAAAGGTCATCACATGGCCTAACTCTAGTCCAAATGTTAGTTGTCACCTAATCTGAGAATGCCACCCAACCCCAAATCAAAATTAGTGGCAGCCTTTCCAAAAAAAGAAGAGACTGATTTTTCAGTAAGCCAGGTAGGTGGAAGAGCAGAATGGATAGACAGGTGGCAAGTATGACAGAATGAAGAACTGACTAAGAATTTCAGAGGTCATTGGAGGAGCAGGTGAGAATGTGGAAAAAAGTGAACCAGCTGAGACACGGTGTGCACCAGTTGTGAAAAATCTGCTGGATGCTGTACCTCACCAAAGCCTTTTAAAGAAACTAATCTATAATGACATTAAAGAAAACAAATCCTTCATTAATTAGTAACTGAATGAAAGGTCAGAAATGAACAGTAGGAATAAATAGTAAGTGGAAGGGAAGTTTCCAGTGATTTTCCAGAAAGTCGCTGTCCCATGTTAAGAGGGGCATGCAGTGAAATAACAATGCTTATAAAAACACATAGTTATTTAATATAGTAAAAGCTAGGCCATATATCACAAAGAACTCCTAAGTGACTGGTCAATCAAGTGACAGATGGCATGCCAAGTTGATACATATACAAAAAAATGTGTGCCTGTGGAGAAAAAAAATCCCAACCACATATGTACCACATGGGTAATAAATGAGATGTTATTGATCAGGTAAAAGATCTTAAGAGTCATTGTGGGTAATCCCTTTAAAACATGCAAGCTCAAGAATGTTCAAAATACCAATTAGCATGCTAGGAAATAAAAAACAGGAGTTATACAATAAAAATCTGTAAAAGCATGGCCAGTATGAAGAAGAGCAGAAAAATAGTCAGGATTATTCTTTACTGAATAGTCCTATTGATATCATCTTGCTAAAATGTCATACTAATGACCATTATTCACTTCTCCTCTTTACCATCCCCCTACCCCCCCCAAATATAAGAAATGATTATGCCCAACCAAAATATCTGGCAGAACTTTTAGAAGAAACAAAACAGGAATATTTCAGCACAACCATGGGACTCCTTGCTAGAGCATGTTTTAGGTAACAACTTCCATCAGTTTATAGATTCAGGAATTCTTTCAGTCACCTCATAAAGAAAAATTCAACAAAGTCTTTTTAAAATTATGAATACTTCTGGAACAATAGAGAAAATGTGCCTGGTTACACTGTCAGGACTCTGAAACCCACTGGGACAAAACAGCTTGCCTTTAAGCTAGTAAATTCCTTTTTGCCTCCAAAATTGTCTAGGAGCATACAGGTCAGCAGGGAGCCAGGCAATAATGCCAGGCTGCACCCTGCCGCTGGGATTAGAAGTGCAGGCAAGCTTGTCTCAGTGCCTGGGAATGTGCCCATGCTGTTTAATAGGTAAGAGCCTGGGAAGCCTCCATCTGCCAGAAGCTGAAAAGGGAAAGTCTTCCTCTGCTCACCCTGTCTTTCTCTTAACAGAGATAGGCTCCCGTGCTGGCCTTCTCCTGGAGCTGAGTATCTACAGCGAGTTCTCAGCACAGGAGGGACAAACCCAAATACTACCCGGAATCTTTTAAAAATATTTTTAAAATACTGAACTATTGGGATTTCCCCTCTTTTAAATGAAAACTACCACATATTCTTTAAGGCAGGTGGGTAATTAACCTGAGAATCTCCAAGGCAGTTGTGTTCATATTGGTTGATCACATGGCATTTTTTAAGCTAAACTACTAATATATGGATAACATGTTAATCAGCATATACTTCAATACAGTATGTTGCAAATATAAAAGAAATACACACACACTTTTATTAAAGCTTTGCAATGCAGACACAGAAATTATGTAATAATATCCTACTTACTGTAAAGCACTACCAATGAACAATCAAGCCTTCTGGGAAAAATAAAAAAAAACAACGACTTTTTCTTATTTTTTGCTAATGCTCTGTTAATAAAATTTGTTTCCTCATATCCTTAAACCATCAAGGCTAAAACATTAATACTGCCAGAAATAATTACAGTCAGCTTGCTCAATTAATTGTTGGACAACAGAATCAGAAAATCTTTAAAAATATTTGACTGTCTGTTGGCAAGCCACAATATTTTGCCTGTGTACTTCATTCCATTCTAAGTAGAGAAAAAATACTGATTTCAATTAATTATGTAAATTTTGTTAAAGCTGATAAACTTTTGACTAGTCATAAATCTATGATTTTAAGTTTACTCAAACATGTTTTTGATCCATCAGACTTTTCAAATAGTCATTCAATATTTTTAAATTTTGTAAGGTGGTTGTATGTGAGCATGTCAAATTACTCCAAATACATCAGACAGTAATGGTGTCATATGATGTTAATCTATTTACATCTCTGGTGTATTTTATATTGTTTTTGTTATTTACATCATACTCCTGTGTGGTGTAAAACAATATGTTAATTTCTTCCAAGTGCCTGTCTTATGCTGTTTAAAAATTAGATGCAAAACCTCTTAGAATGGTAATGACTCTGTTTTAAACTTTAATGATGACTATGAGATGATACAGCTAAACTAATACAAAATTAAACATTAAATCCATGTGACAACAGAGTGAAATTTTCAACAGAAAGGGAAAAAAATAAGGCACTTCCCTTATATTTAGTTTCATATTCTGATATCTAGACTACACATTTAGCTGGAACACAGTGATGAAACTCAAATAATCCTTTAGTTTACAACTTGCAAGTATTTGGCCTTCAATATTTATTATGCAGTCTATGGCAGAAACAGTTTCACATTAAACGCTTATTGTTACATAGATTTTAACAATTAAAATAAGAAATACATTTTGGCTGCAGAAAGAAAAAGACAAAAAACCTCCCTGTTCCATAGAGTTGTATTTTAGAATACACTTAAATTCATCAAAGTACATTTTCCCCTGGTTAACTACTGATGATTTATTTACAAACCAAGTAACAAACAATGTCTAGAAAATACCATCGCACCACAAATTATCTACATGGATATTTCTATTTCTCATACTAGAAAACAGCTAAGGAGGCATTTACTGCAGTACAATGTTCTCTCCTGAAATCTTAATGTGTTTTAGCAGCTAATACAAAATGCAGATGCAGACTGTATTACACTAGTTAGAAAAGCAAAGATATTACGGGTTTGGTTAAGAAAAAATAGATACCTAGCAAAATGTAACCTTTTTGTTTGTTTGTCTGGGGGTTTTTTTGTTTTTGTTTTTTAAAAAAAGGACTAATGCATTAACTGCTCCAAGCACTTCACATAGGGGCTGTTGATGGCTAACAAATTGAAAATGTTGCTGACAGAGCAACTGAAATTTGAGAAACTACTTGAAAGAGAAGACATCATCAGCCTATGCAAACTTTGACAGGCTTATAGCTACATTTCTATTCACAAAGGAATTTATGGTAATGTAGTGTTTTGGGGATAATTTGACAATGGAATACTTTCATTTACTTATCTCTTTTAGAAAAAATGATAGCTTGTTGTTTTGATTTTACTCTTTTCTTACATGAGAAACAGAAGCAGAAGGTGAAGCTTGGAGTTTTGGGGTTTTTTTTTTAAGTGATCACTGAAAGAAATATTTTTCCTTTGAAATTGCAATCCTGTAAGAGAAGACCTCTTGAACTGCAAATGTGTTGTTCTAGATGACCTTGTTAGACTTCAGCACGCAAATAACCTGCACAGGAAACACTTCTACAAATTTTAAGAATAAATAGAGTGTACCCAACAGTATTAAAACTTCATATCACATTATTTCCCGTCATTAAAAGCTCACTTTCATTTTTCAAAGTAAGTTGTCCAGCCTTTGAATTTTTGTTTCCAACCTGTTTTAACACCACTGTAAACTTATCAAGAGCATGTCAGATTGCCACAGGTACAATAGCTGTGTTTTAGACTCATGTATGTATTCCTGGTAAACATGACTGTTTTGAACACTGGAGCCTGGCAAGCCCCCGTATCTCTTGGCTCTACTTGCTGTTATATTTCATGCTTCTATTCTGTGCAAAGTAGATGTGCTGCAGAAGCAATTTGTGACAGACTGGAAAAGCAGATGCTTTCCTCTGTGGTGTTTTTTTGAGGGAAAGTATATCCTACACGTTCCCATAGCATACTGCCCAGACACACTGTGGCACTGGTGTGCAACTGCTTTGAGAGCCATGCAGCAGGAGACCCTGTCACGGCAGTGGAGTAGTTTCAGCTTCTTGAAGTTCCAACTGAAAGGAAAGAAATTGCAAATACAATGAACAGTTGCTTAGTATCTTCCCACCCACAAGTCTGTGTGTGTGTCTACATGCGTGCAGGTTTCTTTTAAGAGGAATTTATTTCTCATTTGCATCTACTGCCCTGCTGTATAAAGCTGAACACATAGGGAGTAAGGCATAAAGACCATGCCTTTGCCATGAAGTAACAAAACACAGAAAAGTTTCATGTCTGGCCTTCAAAGACAAAAAAACATTAGTAGGTCTGAAAATTGACTTAGAATTAGAATACTTTGTATCAAGCCAGTTGTTCTCTTTCTAGAGTGGAACTTTCTAAGAATTTCACGAGTATGGAAAGATATCGCTCCCTCCCTGTATGCTTTCTGTAGCAGTTAAAGAAGAGCTGGTATTTTAGCTGATACATTCTATGTTTCAGGATATTGTCTGACTTTTGGATTTTCAGTTAAAGTCCAGTTTAAATGCTGTGTGACACAGACTTACATCAGCAAACAAACCCAACAACCTCTCAGCCCTGGGTGTCCACAGTATCCATGTTAGGTTCAATTTGCATGCAGGCACAACAGCACTACAGATGTTTTCATCAAGAAAACCTGCTTACTGCACAGCATGTCCTGAAAGTCCAGAATCCCTTTTTGCTGCCCAGCAAATGCTGTACTAGAACTTGTTGAAAACAGGGTAGGAGACACTGCAAATCAAGGGTTTATGGCATGGACAGAAGAATCACAGATGAAACCTGAAGATTCACAAAGAGCCCATGACAGTACGAATCAGCTACAAAAGAAAGTTTGATTTTAAGGGTCTATTGAACTTCAACAAGTGTTTCATTGATGTCACTATCTTACCAGAAATGGGCTTCTTAACAAATCAATACCTTTAAATTATTATTGAAACAAAGTATAATTTACAAAGGAGATACATCAATTTTCTAAAAATACACAGAAAGGCCATTTTCTATTAATACAGGTAGATGTGAATCTGCCAAGGTTTGGAGTTACAGAAACTGCCCAGTTTTTTTGTGTTTCCGCAGTAGGACTCACCAGAGTTTCCCATATTTGTTTACAATCTCTCATATAGCACTGAGAAAACTGAAAAGTAAGAAATCACTTTCTTCATTTATTTAATCAAAGTGAAACTAGCTTTCAATTTTTCCTTGTTTCAACTTAAAAACAGCATTTCTTGAATCCAATATCCTTTTTATTTCTACATGTGGCTGCCAATCCAAGCAACAAGGGCAAAGTTTTCAGGGCTGAGCCTTTGTTTACTGAACACATCTGAGGCCTCATTTTCAGCATATGAGGAGGATTTGCAGCTTCCATTAGGGCATTTAGACACTTCAGTAGTTAAGGAGAAAGCATCAGAAGCTAAAATTGCAAAATATAGTTACATAGAATGACTAAATAGTCCTGAAGATGTGCCTATACATCATTTGCTTAGTTGCTTCGATACATTCAGGTGAAACAGCTATAAAAACAGCTATAAAAAGAGGTCACAAAGAAACTAATTCATGGAAACAAATTTCTTGGATTTCAATAATTATTAATAATTGAGTTTCCTAATTATTTATATTTTTTGGTATTAACACATAGCAAAAATTTAATATATTTGGAAAACATAGTTTTCAGGAAAAGTAATTATCAATTAATTTTAAATTAAAAAAAAATAAAACTTCTTTTAATCCTAGAGATAAAGTAATGCAAATAGTCTCTCAGCATCTGAAGTAAGAGCTATTTCAAAATACTTGCCAAGGTCTTTTATAAGAATCAGGTTAATGCCAATGACATCAAAAACTCTCAACCATTTGCAAAAGCTAGTCTTTGGTCCTTATTACCTTACCCTACCAATACTGGGTCATACAGAAAAAAGTTCAAAGTAAGCAGTTTTGCGCTTTGAGCGTTTTTTTCAGGATTCCATCACTCCTTCTCCATGCAAATACACTTATAAGACTGCATATGCCTCCCTGAACTAAAGTGAGCTGAGCCTTTATGCTCACTTCAGAACAGATGTACCCTATGCATTTTACTGCAGGAATTAGTTGAGTGTAACACAGCATACATTCCCCCACAGATGTGAAACACCTATCTTACAACACTTCCAGTTTTTTGCATGCTTGATTAGCCACTGTCTTTTATCCCTCAGAGCTGTGTTTGTCTACTGGGCATATACAATTTCTATAAATGCTCACACCATCAGTGTTACGGATCAGATGTTGCTCTGTGCATTTGCAAGATGCTGCTTTTCTGTAGGAGTTTTGAACTGATAGAAAATACAGCTGTTCTTTCCACCAGTCAATGCTTATTTTTAAGTGCTTTAAGTGTTAGGACTTATGTGATTGAGCCTTGCATTTCTCATTAACTTTAGCAGGAGAAAAGAATTCTCACTTGGCAAAAAAGGAACTTGTAGAACATCTGTTTCTTAGAAAATTATGTGAAATGGGCCTAGTACTATACAGCCCTGCCACTAGAATTCATACCAAACGCTCTCCAAGGCCTCGTCTTTACAAGAAAGAGCTTGTCAGTACACTTCGATCAATACAGATCTACGAGCTAGACTTTCTTGTACAGAAGGCACTTACCTGTGAAAAGAATACCCTGTCAATAGAATTGACAAAATCTGACTGTCTAAGTAAACATTGTTTTGTCTGGGGATTTATTTTCTTTCTTTTTTCTTTTTTGAGAGCAAAAGCTGCATTCACTCTAGGGCTTTCTCTGTTTAAAATAATAATAATATAAAAATATTACATGTTACACTTTTAAGTACTACTCCAGAGAACCATTTTAGTGTAGATTAGTTCTACAATCTTATCTGTCATTCTGATAAAAGCAACAACAAAACTACCTCTTACAGAAATGTTTGTTGGAGAAAAAAGATAAATTAAGTTTAATATTAAACTTTGAAAATGGCTTGCTGTGAATGTATTCTATAGACATTGTGGAGAGTGGGAAAGACTGTACCAAACAACTGCTGAACTGTAGTCCTGGGAGAAGGCCTAGGTCATCACTCAGTGAGCACATCTGGTAGAAGTAAACCAATGGCAACAGCAGCAGCTGCTCAAGCAGGGACTGCAGGGACGGTGGTGAGGGAAGCAAAACTGTCCACTCCAAATTCTTTCAAATACCTGACCACGAAAAGAGACCTATCTGCCCATCTATGAGGACCTGAGATTCCAAGTGTGGTCTTCTTCTCCTTGGCTCTGGGGAAAACTGATAACTTAGTTGCTAGGAAGAGCTACCAAAGTAGTCAAGCAACTTCTTATAGCTCTCTATACACCTTTGTTCCATGCAGGTTGTCTCTTTGCTTCAGTTTCCATCCTTACTGCCTCACTTGGATCTCATTACTGACATTCCCCTTTCTTCCCAGCACTCTTCCTCTCACTTTCCTTTCCCTTCAGTGTCTTCCCTTTCCCTTCTCTTTACATATACTTTATTTCTTCTTAACTAACTATTCCCTGAATGGAAAAAAAAATCCCTAATCAACAAAGAATGCAACTATGAGACTAGCTTCCTTCTTATTGTCACTCTCAAGCTCACCTCACTGCTTGGTTCATCCCTCCCTCTGCAGACTGTCTCCCTTGTTGGTGTAGGTTGAAAGATCTTTGTGCAAAACATATTCTATTCTGTGTTTGCCCAGTGCTCAAGGAAATAGACTTTATTTCACCAGACTCTGGCCAGTGCCACATTAATCTCTGCTGTTGGTAGAAGTGTACAACTCTCCTAAAAGTAATATAAAGATCCATAAGTAAATTTAGAAAATGGGTACATACACACCACACTTTAGAAAGTTGGAATTGTACTACATAAGAGACGCAATCCTGTTGTCGGACACATGCACAAAATTGACTCCACCGAGGGTTACAAATAGATTATTAACAGATGAGTCTCTCTAATAATTTGCTACACCTAGTGAATACTACATGTATATACATAGATACATATATGTATGTGCCTGTGCCAAGTTTGGCAGTTCTGCTCCACCATCAAAGTGTGTGTAAGACTGAGCAGGTGCTGATTTCACAGGCCATGGTTTGGCATGTATGAATCAGACAGTGGTGAACAAAAATACCAACTGCTGATGCTTAATAAAGCTCACTTTAGCCCTTCTCCCTTTCGACTGGTCCCTCCTCTTTTCTGGTGCAATTACTGTTTAGTCTGTTTGGAGATGGTAATGTTCAGATTTATGCTTTCTGGCAGCAGCTGAGCGGCAGGTCTGCAGCTGCTTTCACAAGAAGCCACTGAATTCTGCACCTCAAGGAAACAGCCAGCTTGTGGCTAAAGTGGCAGCAGTGAGAAACTGGTGTGTGAGCAACCTTAAATATATTGCTGAAAGGTGATATGGCAAGGAATGAACCAGGCTTATGCCTTTAGTTCTTCTTTTTAAGGAATTACAGAGACAACTCAAACTTCTAGTGCTTGTGATGTGCTTGAATGACTTTCATGAATGTTAAGATTTGCTTTCATGTTTTGTTTGATGTTCACTTAAGGATGGGGATTGGAAATTCTCTGGACTAATTATAGACCATGGACACTGAACATTTACAAAAGAGCTTCTTTGAAAAAGTAAGCAACCAAAGACTGAATTAAAAAAAAATCTATTTCTCTTGGTATCTGATGTGTCATAAAATGTCTGCTTCTTAAAGGCTTTTTCTACATGGAAAAGGTATCTTAGTATAGCTAAAATGGCAAAATGGCACAATAGTCCTTAACATGTATGTATATATTTATATCTATCTATTTATCTATCTATATCAAAACCCACCTTAGTCAACACATATCTGATATAAGAACTGCATGTAGACAAGCTTTTGTCTACTTCTTGCATGTCTTTCAGGAAAAACAAGGCCAGGTAGGCCTTCTCTATACATCAGTCAAAAGTGAACACACAGAGTTTTTTATCTTTTTATTCACTGCTGCAATGGGAGAAGAAGAGAGATCTGTATTTTGTCGCACTCCTGTCTCTATCAGAAGACCAGGAGTATGAACAGAGAAATCTGTGATTAACCTTCAGTCACCTGTTGTAAACATCCTGCAAATGAAATGCTGTTTTGTGTGCTTTGTACATGCATGCATGTGGGACCCAGTCAGGCAAGGTAACCTTGAAAACCCTTGACTTCTGAACATCAAGCAGGGTAGAGAATAACTAGCGCCATGCAGGACTGGGGTCTCTGTGTATGCATACAGAAGTTTCAAATATAACCTCAAAGGTGTTCAGACCTTCAGATAGCTACAAATCAGTATAGACAGTAACTTCAGAATACATGTCATCTCCAGGCAGGTGGCCTGGATCCAGAGATGACATCTCCACTGCTAGTCATACCTGATGGTTAGTCCTATCCACAGTGTTGGCAGTGGAAGCATGGTCACGAGTGTTTTGTCGGATTCGGGTGGAGTTTTGCTGCTCAATGGTTGAGGAGGTGGGGACGCAGAACTCTCTGAAACACCTTTTGAAATTCTCATCTAGAAATGCATAAAGGACTGGATTAAGGCAGCTATTTGTATACCCTAGAGCAATACAGAAGTGCCAGGAGACAGTCTGGAAAGTAGTTTCTGGGATGTTGACCAGGGCTTTAATGATGACATAAATGTGGATGGGAGTCCAGCAGACAATAAACACTGCCACCACTACAAGAACCATCCTTGTGATTCTCCGCAGGTTCCTATCCTTCTCTTTGGAGCCGGATAACATGCGCACACTCTTCAGGCGTAAAATCATCAGCCCATAACACACAGTAATTATCAGGACTGGCATGATGAAGGCAAAGATGAACACACAGATTTTCAGGAGGTTCTCCCAGTACCATGCAGGGTGGGAGAATGCAAGTGTGCAGTCAATTGAGCCTGGGGAAAAAGGAAAATATCAGAGAAGAACAAGAGGGTCAGTTTTTCATTTGCTTTTTTAAAAACTTTTTTAAATTAAATATCATAGGCAAATATGTGAAGATTTACTAAGTAAACATGTAAAATGAAGCAATCTGTGAGCTGTCATTTACACAAACATTGATAGGTCAGAGCGCTGCAAAACATGTATGGAGTTAGAAAAACAAAACCAAATTAACGTGTCCTCTTTTTCATTCTATTGCTTGGAATTAAATGTATATTGGAAAAGAAAGAGAGCTGAATTGTCACAAATGCTCAAACCTTGCCTCGTTTTCACTTTCAAAACCTAGTGAAAAGAAAGATGGCTTAGCTACCATATGTGCTAAGAGTTTGGGCATTTCAGGGCAACGGGGAAGAAAATGACATGTCACCTGGCAACTATGCACCATGGTGGGTTTGGATTTATGTTGACGTGCTGTCACTGTCCCTTTATGGAAGGTCTTTGAGCACCAGTGATCCAGAATTGTGCTTTCTGCTCTGTATCACATCCTGCCAGACTACATGCAACATATCTATGACTGCCAGCCCCAGTGGGAATATCCCGGATAAAGTGCAGGCTTCTGTGCTGTAAGACAACGTATAACTGCCCCACAGCAGAAGGCAGGCAGGCCCAGATGCTTTTCCAAACACTACAGTAACCATGTGGGGCAGCAAGACTTGCACAGACCACAGAAGGAGCTGGAGCTGCCTGTTGTAAAACACAGATGACATGTAGTGCTTGTCCAGTCAACTACAGCCAGCTGCAAAATTGTTGAAGGGGCCCATTTGCACTGATATGTGCTTTATACAGATTGGAGGACAGAAGCTAATTCAGTGTCTCTACATTAAAACAATGCAGAAAGGAGTTTAAATGTTGGAATGAAAGCCAGACTTACCATGCCTGTATTTAGTAGTTGCCATGAACATAACTGGCAGGCCAATGGCAGAAGAGAGAATCCAGTTGCAGACATTGACAATTTTGGCATTTCTGGGGGTACGGAAATCAAGGGCCTTAACTGGGTGGCAAACAGCTACGTAGCGATCTACACTCATGGTGCAGAGTGTAAAGATACTGGTGAACATATTGTAGTAGTCTATGGATATAACAATCTTACAGAGGATGGTACCAAATGGCCACGTTCCCATCAAGTAATTCACACTCTGGAATGGCAGAGTACTTGTTGCTAGGGCATCTGCCAAGGCAAGATTGAAAATATAGATATTGGTGGCAGTCTTCATTTTCGTGTACCTAGAAAAAAAAATCAGCAACGCATGAATGACCATAGCTGACACTGTTAAATAAAATTGAGTCCAGTGCATCATCTATAAGAAACTTCTGTAAAATAATGTGCTAGATACTGTCAAAGATCGTATTTTCTGCTTTTAACCAAATGACCTTGCTATGATTTACCTATATAATGTTGATAGTTCAGTGAGACATTAGCTAAAGGATGTAAGGAAGAAAAGATTAATTTAACTCGTGCTAAGGGAAAGGATATACACAGAAGAAACACAGAAGAAACACAGAAGAAACAATATGACAGATGCTAAAGAACTGAGAAGCTGAAAAAAACCTGTACTTCTACATATCAGACACTGTACTACATGGATAGATTTTCTGTACCTGCTGATGTCATGCCAAATATCATAACCATGGTCTGTAGAAATAGAGAATTCATTTGTAGGTTGTGGAGTAGTAATGATGTAATTCCTCAAGGAATAAGTACATAAGAGATTAGCATAATTATCAAGTCCATGGTGTCTAAAAATTCAGGCTTTTAGACTTTCTCATTAGGTTATAATCACAGAATTCTAAAATAATTGCTCTACTAATGTCAATGTCCAATATAAGTTCGACAGATGTTCCTTCAATCAAACAAGAAAACATCATATGCACTGAATGTAACAATAGAACCAGCATGCCAGGTGGATGCTGCAGCCCTGCTGTTTGAGGTAGGAATGCTCTCTCTGCTCTGCTCTGCAGTGACTATTTTGGCAGGAGGGTCTTCAACCTTCATTGCACTCTCTTCTCTCTGAGTCTGTGCTGTTATAACAACCCAAACCCTACTTCCTGAATTTTGAATATGTCACTCAAATCACATCTGAGAAGGGAGAGCATTTTATATTTTAATTTGTATTTGCTAGAGTCCAGATTCCTCCTTAGTTTAATCAAATTTTTGAAGAACATTTGCAAGTCCATTGTGTCAGCTGAGCAGCACTTGAGATCCACTTTTTATGTGGATGCTATAGATTTGCAGTGGTACAATGAATGTTTCACTTTAAGTAATGTTCCTGGCCACGCTGCTCTCCTTGTTGCTGAGATTGCTGGGCACTGCGGCTGCCTGGCTTTTGGTGCATCAAATAGCTTGCTCTTTTGATAAAACTTCCTTCTGTTTCTGCAAAACTAACAAGCAGGGTGTTTGATCAAACATTCAACAATTTATAGAATGATTTGCGAGAAGAATAGCCCATTTGAAAAGATCTGTCAGGGAACCTGCTGGAGAAGACAAAGTGTAAAATACAGTCTTTCATGGTTTTTATTGCTCTTAGATCTCTTCAGAACATGAGTCAGTTGCAAAAAAATCCCAATGACGGGGCTGTGTAGGGAACACACACTTGGGACCTTTATTTTGGTAGGATCTGCAGAAATGCAGACTTCATGCTGAATGGACCTACATAGCTCTTTATGATGAACATTTGAAAGCATTGATACTGAATTTGTTCTCTCATTTTCTAGTACTATGCACAAGGAGCCACTAGCAACCCTAATTTCAAATTAGGCTGGTTTTTAAAAACATATTTTCAAGTAGATCCAAGCTCTTTCTTGACTGCTATCTTGAGAAAGTATGATCTGAGTATGATAGTTCCTAGTTTTAAATAAAACTCATATTCTGAAAGTCCCCTAAACACTTTTCTTACTGCATTTATCTAACAAGATTGTAATACTAACATAAGAGGACGTAGTTGCTGCAAGCATTCATGACTATCTCTCCTGGAAACTGGAAAAATTTACAGGAAAAATGTGCAGGATTGCAGTGTGGGAGAGATACACAGCAAGCTGAAGCTCTAAAAACTGTCTGGAGGAAGGAGAAAATATTTCCTGGGAATTTTGCAGAGGAGAAGGAAAGCAGCAACATTTTTATGTTGCTGCTAAGCCCTGTGGTTTATCAAAACGAGTGTCTTTTCCATAGGTCTGAGGACATATTCAGGTGTATCCAGAGAGCTAACCTGGAGGTTTGATTGTGTTCTGAGCAGACACATCCAGCTTGCTCCCGTCTGATCTGCTCAGGCAGGAACAGCAACAGAGAGGCAGTGGCTCTCAGCTCTGCACAAACAGGGAAAGGTGGTGAGGAGTCTGTGCCCTCACCCAGGCTGCTGATCCCTGCTCAGATGCCCGTCCTAGATGATTGTCTTATTTTTATGGTTGAACAAGAAAGCACACCTGGGAACACTGCTCAGTGCTGCTGCCATCACATATGATTCTGGCACAGTTCTGTCTGGAGAGCACATCATCAGATGATAATGATATCAGTAATTAAAGCCATTCTTTAATGGTTTTAATCAACACGTGACTCTCAGGTTAGCATGTTAGAGGATACACAGAAAAAAGGTCTGAATAAATGGAATAAAGTTTCTTTACTAGGAATGGGCCTTATCCCACTTAAATGCTACATATTTTTCCCTTTTCCTATCTTCTTTTCATTGACAGTTTAAAGGTTCTTGGACTTACTTTGTTTAATGACCACTGCAGACTTAATGAAGGGTTTTGCTTGATGTACTCTGTAATCTTTGTACTTCTAATCATGCTGTTCTTACAATGAACAAAAGCATAGCTTTTGTGGTGATAGAAAGTATTTACCTCCACAATTGCCTAATCAACAAAAGCCTTCTGAAATTTACAATATTCTTTTCAGTGAATTCTATGGGATTTGGGCGTTTCTCTGTACTGAATATTTCAAGATTTTATAAAGGGCTTATTTCTGAAAGGTACATTTTGTAAAATACCCATTTTTCCAAATAAGTAGATTAGCAGTGTCCCCAGAATTCCTTTTGGCATGAACAAATAAATACTGAAGCAATTGATTAATGTAATTCTAACAGCATGAAAAATAACAGTCCATCAAAATGGAGCTTTTCAAAGTCTTGACCTTAGCTATTATTATACATTTTGCTGAGGTATCAGTCAACCTATTTAAACAAGCAGCACAAATATCTCCATCATCCAGACACAGATGTATACGTGATGAGATTTCTATACTTCAGAGGGACTTCATAATACCCAAACTATTGTGTTTATAAATACAATGTTTTAAAAGATACTGCTTTCACATTTTCATTCAAAGCCACTAGAGAATCTAAAAATTAACAGATATGTAAAAAAAGAATCTTAAATGCAAACCCATGAAAATCTGGATACTGGTATTTAGACTACATTAAAATTTCAGCATCTAAAACACCAGGTATATTAAATTTTGCATTACAATGAGCAAGGTTGTAAATGAAGAGGGATGTTCACTTTGGGTGACATTACTTCTATTTTACAACTCTGTAATGAAAAGAGTAATAGAACATGCTGATTCAATTTTTTTGGTGAATATTTAGCAAAATACTGCTCTTGATACATACTCAAATTAATTGTGCTCATTATACACTAGTGGGCACACTCACTAGTATGCCCTTCCTAACTCCTCGGCGCAGGTTTTGTATCATAAAACATTTATGTTTATGAAGTGTTGTTTTTTTGGTAATAGTAGATGATAGATCAGATTTACTAAAGTAAGAATACATTTTATGTCTGTCTAATATTTTAGGGAAAACACAGCCTTCCCCTTAATCTTCAGTCCAACAAAGCTTTAAAATACACTTCAAGTTTGAAAATCTAAGCTGCAGAGGTCCACTCAACTGGGATTTGCTCGGAATAAGAAAAAGCAATAGAGAAAAGAATGAGAATCCTGCTCAGATAGTCATCAAGTTCCTAGCATTCAAGGATTAATAGAAAGTCTTGAAAAGGACTCTTCAACTGCCTGCCCATGGGCTGCTTGTAATTTGCAAACTGAATAGAAGGTTCACCAGATTAACCTTAGAAAGACCTCCCTGTTCCATTGCACAAAGTGTAACAGCACCTTGAACAGCAGCCACAAGCACCTTCCCTTCCACCTCTCAGACATGGAACAGGAGATGTGAGTACACTTGTGATTCTCTCTCTTTCTGCAAGAGACATGCCACAGCTCTGTTTCTGGCCTGTCCACTCCAATAGTTTATTCCACCTTATCACCTTTAAAAACTTTTGAAGGGTCACTTCTTTTAGGTTTCCATGACTCAAGAGTAGAGACCAACTAACATGAAGAGCATCTATTTCCTTGAAATTTAATGAAATTTTTAGTTTGCATAACACTTTATCTAAGCCTAACAGACACAGTTTGTACGCTATCAGAGTCATGTCCATACTGCTCCTTGGTCAAGTGGTTTACACCCATGTGGATTGTTGAGCTATCCCCTCCTCCAGACCCTTTGGCCCTTCTGGACCAGATCAGTTTTACAGCATCCTTGTACCAGTGAGCTGGTGCAAAGAAGCTAGAGAGGTGGTCCACGTTTAGCTTAATGAATAGGGTAATACATACCATTACAAATTAATTTGAAAAAATTTCAAATTAATGTCTGAGTAACATCAATTAAGAAGAAAGCAGAAATGGTCTTTTGCACTTAGGAAATGCGCTGGCCAATGACAGACTGGTAATAACTACTTTCAGCAACACAAAGGCATTCAAGGTTTTGCCTACAGAATGCTAATTTGGAGACAAAGACTACTTCAAGATCTGTGTTTAAGTTCAGCGCAAAATATATGAAAAACTGGCTTATCACAGAGATTCATTGCAGAAAGCAGTCATTCTTGAAAATGGTTTGGCTGTTGAAAGAAAAAGCAGCCAGTAGTTAGGTCTTGCATACAACCTGATGTAACCCTTATTGATGCTGGAGGAGATTAGATTAGTGTTTCAAATTTATGTTCTTCTTGTATAAATGTCTTGTTACACAAATGAAGAATCATTATGTGCATACATTAGATTAGTTGAGGTCACCTTGAGTGGGAAGATTAAAACAAGTGAAGTACAGCTAGTTGAATCAATTTAAATGAACTTTTTTTCCATGGCTGTTCTGGTGCACCTTGTACATGCAACTCAAAATCTGTAGGAAAGGGGATTTTTTTTTTTGGTGTATTTTCCTAAGATAACAGGTACTTTCAATTTTTGT